GGAGAGTAATCTTACCTTAATAATATGACTACCATCCAAATAATGTCACTGGTCATGTAAATATCAATTAATAGCAAAATATTACAGTAGCCAGGGATTTTAAAGAACTAGAAGAGCCTAAAAAATGAGGCAACATGCCTATTTAAACTGAATGCTCTTAAAACAAACGTCAGAGAATCTGAGGATATTCCCCTCTGGCTGGTTGGTGCATAAAGGAAATACGTGTATGGGAGACCTTGGAGCTGGTGGCTGGTATATTTGCATTGTGCTAAAGAACACTGAAGGGCTCTGTAAACATTTAGATGTGGACGTAGGGAAGGGCGTGAGTGGCGATCTGGGAGGAGGGTAATGCCTGTGTTTAGGAGAGGCAGTATGATGAGAGAGTGGTAATGGTGCCACCTCGGCAGAAGTCACAGAATTGTTGCAGACGAGCTCTCAGAGTGACTCACAAGTCTTCACCGTACGTGTCAGATTAGAGAAGCTCCAAAGTACTCTTAGATCCTTTCCTTTCCTTTTTTTTTTTAGACAGAGTTTTGCTCTTGTTGCCTCAGCCTCCCGGGTAGCTGGGATTTCAGGTATGTGCCATCACACCCGACTAATTTTGTATTTTTAGTAGAAATGAGGTTTCTCCATGTGGATCAAGCTGGTCTCAAAGTCCCAAACTCAGGTGATCCATCCACCTTGGCCTCCCAAAGTGCTGGGATTACAGGTGTGCGCCACCATGCCCAGCCAGGTCCTTCCCTTTAACTAGTTGGGGACTGTGGTAAGTGGGGCTTACTCAGAAAATAAGCTAAGACCCTCTTAGGGGAGTTGCTGGATGTCAGGAGGGTGTGGGGTCTGACCTTTAGCTAAGATACAGGAAGGAGGAGTGTGGCCAAGAGAAATGCCCTGCCCGGCCTTGAGATGGGGAGACAGGCGTTCCATGGAGATGAGATAGAAGCTGAGAGAGCCAGAGCCGTGTTTCCCAGAGAAGTTACTACACAGGAAGTTCTATAGCAGCCAGGAGTGAAGGGTGCCCCCAGGCAAAACCTGCAGGGAGGTGATCTGGGGTGCTGGCCTAGCCTGGGGAGGAGTGGACTTGGATCAGTGGAGTTAATAGGAGGGACAGCCCTAGCAAGGCAAGAAAAGGACACCTGTGAAAGCAGAGGGCAGAACTACACATGGCCAGTCCAGAGAAGTGAACCTACCAACCCACGCGTATGCCTCCAAGGAACAGTGGGAAGTGAGGCCCAAGTTGAGGACCTAGGATTCGGGAAGAAGGGAATTGTTCTCTTGCTGTTTCTGTGCAGCGAACCCAGAAACCATTGAGATATGTGGGTCCCAGGCTTTCTGAAGCATGCGATTAGAGAGGCACACATTGTCATGTAGCACATTTGTGCTCCAGGGAGAATCTACAGTTTTGCATGCTCTGCTTTGTTGAAAATAAAAAGCAAACCTAAGCAAAAAAAAAAAAAAAAAAAAAAAAAAATAAAAAAAAAAAAAAAAAAAAAAAAAAGCTAAAGCTACCAAAACTGCATGATACTGGTACAAAAAAAAAAAAAAAAAAAAATCCCCTCCAAGATAATCATCGTTTTAAAAAGACTAGGCTGCTTATTTCCTGGCCTACTTCCTAGAGCAGGCAAGAAGAACTAAGGGAAAAGATGAAATGAGAGTCTGTTCCTTCAAGCCATCTCAGAACTATTTAGAGTTAGTTCTAATTGTTATTTAGTTGGTTTAAATTACTTTTGTGGACTTATATGCTTTAAAGTATTTTTAAAAACAAATCTTGAGGGATATTCAAGATTTCAGCTTTTGGTCCTCCTCTCGACTGAAGAAAACAGCTCTTAGACACTGTGGACCAGCTCTGCGGATGCAGCCAAATTCTCTCCTTCCCTGAAAGCCAGCAACTCACTTTGAAGTCCCTGTGTGAAACAGAGAATGTAATCCGAATGTGGACGTTTACATTGTGACTTCCTCTGTAAAGCATAAAGAGGCCAATTAAGGCCCAAATACTACACACTGAACTTAGGGTTTCAGTAACTCGCAAGACAAACAAGGAATGAAGTTTACGAGCTCTGAGTTTTCACGCAGAGACAGGGCAACTGTGACTCCTCTCTCTCTCTTTCTCTCTCTGGCTGTCTGGCTGTCTGGCTGTCTGTCTTCCTCTGACTTCCCAAAGAGGACCCTCCCGGGGAAGGCACAAGCAAAGGCTCCTTTCCTGATGCTTCCTGGGGTTCACCCCAACCCCACCACCATCACTGCCTGCAACAGCCCTCTGCCTTGTCGCCACCACCAGGCCGCTTGCCCTGCCACCTTCCCTCACCAAGCCTCTTGACCACACGAAGGAAAGAAAGGCAGAATGAGGATTTTAAGATCAGTAAAATAACAAAGGAAAGGTAGTCTAGCCTCCACATCTGTGTTTTAATGATAATGTCACATACCGACATCCAACAATCTTGCTGGGAAGTGATCACATGCCAAAGTCACAAAGAGTAGTATACAAACAATGGAAATGACAGGAAAAAAGTCACCTGTAAGCCAACCACTCTCACAAGTGAAATATGTTTATCTATCTTTACTCCCTTCTAGCCCCTGTCCAAATATATTCCATATTTACATTTTACAGAGCTTTAATCATAGGGTATGTGTAATTTTATATTCTCCTTTTTACATTGTCATTGCAGAGGATTATAAAGTTTTCCCCTGGCTACTGCTTAGCCTGATAGAGTATATTGCTTATAGACCGAACCCACTAGGCCTTGAACAAATGAGGCTCACTGACCACCTCTCCTCCCTCCCACCACCACAAAAGTTCTTGTACAATTCGCTCTGACATGGCTTCTCTTCTGGTGAACTCTTCAGCCCAATAGAATTATCAGATTTAGAGAAGTCATAAAAAGTTTTCTGATTGAACGCAATTATTTGGGGCTGGAAACAAAAATAAAACACATGTCTTATTGTATAAAACAGCAAATGGATAGGAAATCTGGACTGCTTATCTGTTCTGAAAGCCAAGAGCACATGTTATATGTGTTAGTAACCGTTCTCAGCCCTGGATCTGCCTGATCAAGCTCTCATGGACAGCTTCCCCCCCATCCCCCACACACAACTGTCTGCTTTCTCTGTCGGTAGATGCTGGAGCCCAGTACTGGGCTAGGGAGGAAAGAAGGCTGCTTGCATGTGGACCAGCTGTCAAGATAGAGCATCTCCAGAAATGTCCTGTGGGCTTCCTGTCTCACCCCTGCCTTGGACTGCATGTGAGGCATAGTGATCAGTTTTCACAATCCTTCTAATCATAGGGATGTCCTATCAGGGTAGAAAACTATCGCTATCTTCACAGGGGTATTTAAAACCCGCTGACATTCTGGTAGCCCCGTAAGTGTGGGCGCAAGCATGTTCCCCGAGGGCTCATCACTTTCCACTGCGCTCTCCTGTTCTGACTATTCCTTCTCTATGCCAATAACTAGGATATATATACCTGGATGATAGGATGGTCATCCAGGCTCAGACTGGGTTCCACATCCCAGCACTGAGTGCCCCACAAGACCCCTAAGTTAAATATTTACCCAAAATGCGTATGAATCTATGTATACGTCACCTACTCTTGCAGTAAGGGTCTAAGAAATAAGCCAGATATGGATCCCTCGCATTTACTTCTGAAATGGCTAGAATCCTAGAAGGATATGTATGCATGCATATACACATGTGTGTATGTATACATATGTGTGCATATATTTATATATACATATATGCACATGTATTTTTTACTTGCTTTAGATGATCTTGAGTCTTCTTTAATCCATGAGACAGTAACAGGAAGGGCTGATTTAGATAGCATGGCAATAGGAGATGAGTACTGCTTTATAATCTCTGATAATTTAAAGTCCCTAACAGATATACTGAGGACTATACTTTTCTATTCCTTGTAATTTCTCCTTTTGTTCTATTTCAAGATCATAGTCATATAAATTTTAAATCTTTGCATAGCCTGCTCTTATTGTACCAAAAAGCAAAGCAAATTTTTATCTTCCTGAGGAAGGAAGGAGAGATAAATCAGACCTCCCATTCTAGAGCATAAGGCTTTGCTGGTCTTGCAAAACATATAATTAGTATAACCCACAAACAAAACAAGGGAAGTCTGATTAGGTGAAAATACGGGACAAAACATTGGTTTACTGGTTTAGCTCTAGCAGCCTATATTTCACACTGACAGACTAAAATGTTGTCCCTTTTCTAGGGTCTGAGCTTCAAGAGCTGCAGAACATGATTGACAGCCTCCAGAAACCCCAAGACCCCACCCGGGTAGCCCAGGCACTCCTTCTCCGCACAGAGGTTATGTTTTTGCAGTTTGACGCTGCAGTGAGGCATCGCATCCGGTAAGGGCTGGGGCACTAATCCTGTTTAGTAAGTTCTGCTGCGCAGGTGTTTGCTGAGTGACCGTCTAGGGAGGCCATTCTTGGCAAGGTTAGATAATGAACTTAAAATAGTCACGGGCACAGCCCAATCCAGAACACCATGGCTACCAAACATGACCTGCCACAAAGGCTGGCTCTGAGAATATGTTCTTGTTGGCTAATAACAAACTGATTTTATCAAATGTAATTTCAGAACAGTTTGTATAATGATTGCTGCTTTCAGTGTACAGGGGGTTCTACTGGGGGTAACATTTTTATACTTCTAAAGATGATTATTTCTAGGGGTTTTATTTTTTCAACATTTGTTTACCTTTCAAAAAGACAGAATTTTTACTATACTTCTCAAGCTAATGGAATTGGCTACCAGTGTTCAATTTATAAGTAAATCAGTCTACCTCTAGTCTTGTATGTACCCTTGTATTAAGTACTCCACATACAAAAGGAATGTTTTATTTGGTTAATTAATCATGACACCGATGGAAAAATTAGCTTGGATTAAGATTCATAATGTTTCCAGTATAAATAAGTTTTGTATGAGAAAGGAAAGGGATTAGCTCTCAGGGTCTCTGCTGATTTTTTAATTGTCAGAATTACCTTTTTTGGGCTAGTTCCTGGTGTGAGCATTTAGCCACTGAGAGGATCTCAGAGGGCTGTGCTGTTACCTCTGGGTTGCAGTTGCTTTTTTCTGCGCTTGTGGGCATCCACGCAGAATGAAAAGGTGGGGATTGCACTGAACTGTCTTGTTCTTTTTCTACTCTTTATTTTCTTTACTCTGACATCAGAGGACTCTTGGATTTAGAATGTAAATTCAACAGGACAAAAACCAGGCTCATGTGTTTTCTTTATATTGACAAATAGCTTCCTGAGCTGTAGCTTAGTCAGGCAGGTGAGATGCGAAGGCTCAAACAGTTATCAGGAGGGCCAGTCATTAGCCCTCTGGGCTCTCAAAGTCCAAGGTAAGAATTTGCAAGGATTTTACATACTAGTGAAGAAACAGAACTATTCCCCAAAAGTCCTTTTTGGACTTCTTCTATGACGGGTTCTGTTTGGTACTATTCTCCCAGGGGAACCACTCTGCTTCCAAGAAACCCTCTGGAATTGCTTTGTCAGGGCTTGCTTTGTCCTCACACTCAGTCTGCAGGAATGGAGGGCATTAGATCCTGTTTCTGGTTTCATATATTTTTCTGCAACCCTTTGGAGAGAATCACCCAGATGGTTCACCCCACTGTGTCCTCCACTGGTTACATTTCACCAGCCTTTTTTGTTCGGAGCTGTTCAGGTTGTGTGTGCTGGGTATTTGCAGCTAGTATGTGGCAGACCAGAATTAGAACCTAGGTGTGTTTGACCTCAAAACCTGAGAGCTATGATGGAGAACGGGCAGCAGCATGGACAGAGAAGAGGATGCTGAAGAGAAGGCAAGAGGCAGGAGGAAAAGAGAAGCTAAAAGATAAATGTCCTCCCTCTTGATTGTCTTACTTAGTACTCAGCCTGTAAACAAGGGAAAGTCCTTAGAGAATGGAAAGAGATAGGAAGCTTGGGACAGTTCCCTAGTCCTTCCTGGAGTTCACCCACACTGAGCAAATATGACCGTTTATGCAGGAACTTTCTGCCTATGTAAGTTGAAGGCTTCCCCAAAATGTGCAAAGGAAAAATGGAACTCTTACCTGGAATGAGGGCAGCATGCTTCACAGATGGGGGTGAGGTGTAGGAGGAGGAAGGAAGTGGTTTGGGGGTGACAGGACGGTAGCCCCATAAAGTCACCTAAAATTTGGCTCCTACTTCTCCGTGGCATAGGTCAGCTTGGGTTACTGGTTATGTGCATGCTTCTAGGCACAAAACATTTCACTCTGCCCCTCTCAACCTCCCTCTACTAGCCAAAAGCCTGATGGAAATTGGTAGCTGTCCTCCGATGGGTTGGATCACACTGACCAAGGCCCCGCATTCATCTCTGGGCATGTCCACCAACCTGCCGGAGTTATTGATTAGCCAATTCAAGAAATGCCCGAGGATTGAGCTTATCTTTAATGCCAGGTGAATTAATCATTTGCATTGAAGGTAAATGCTTGGGTGACAAAGCGGTTCTATCCAATCTCATCTATTTAAGTCAGGAGTTGGCAAACTACTGCTGCCAATTTTTATGTGGCCTGTGGGCTAAGGATGGCCTTCCCATCTTTAAATGGTTGGGAAAAAAAATGTATGAAAGAATAGTATTTTGTGACCCATGAAAATGATATGCAGTTCATATTTCGGTGTTCATAAATGAAACGTTGTTGGAACATAGTCATGCCCATTCATGTATGGATTGTCTCTGCTTTCACACTGCAACCACAGAGCTGAATGGTTGCCACAGAGTCCATAGGGTCTGCCAAGATGAAAATATTTATTGTCTGTTCCTTTAAGAAAAAGTTTTTCATTCCCTGATTTAAAGAATAGAATTCCTTTGCGCTTTAGAGGTAGAAGGAAGCAAAGAAGTCCCTCAAAGGTACTCTGTAGCGCAGTATAAAATATATGGCATGAAAATTGCCTCTAGTCTGAATGTATTGTTCATGTTCAGGGTGATTAGGGTGAAAAGGAAAAAGCTGAAGAAATATCCTGATGATACATTCTCTCCTGCAGCAAGCCTGCTTTAGGAGTACGCGAAGGAATTTCTAAAGAAAGCAACACCAGCCTCTCAGTCCTTGAATGTTTGTTGGTTTTCTCTTCATTTTTGTTTTTTTTCTTGAGATGGTCTTACTCAGTCTCCCAGGCTGGAGTACAGTGGCCTGATCTCAGCTCAATGCAACCTCTGTCTCCCAGGCTCAAGCAATTCTCCTGCCTCAGCCTCCCGAGTTGCTGGGACTACAGGTGCCTGCCACCATGCCCAGCTAATTTTTGTATTTTTAGTAGAGATGAGATTTCACCATGTTGGCCAGGCTGGTCTCGAACTCCTGGATTCAAGTGATCCTAGTGCTGGGAGTACCAGCGTGAGCCACTGCGCCCAGACTTCTCTTCGTTTTTGAATGTATTTTTATTTTCATGCTCACCTACTTAACTGTCTCTAAACATGCAGATATTCAAGTGTGTTCCGATGGCTGGGTGTGGTGGCTCACTCCTGTCATCCCAGCACTTTGGGAGGCCTAGGTGGGAGGATCCCTTGAGCCCAGGAGTTTGAGACTGTAGTGAGCCATGATTGCACCGCTGCACTGCAGCCTGGGCAACAGAGATCCTGTCTCTAAAAACAAAAAGAAATAAAAATTAAAAAATAAAGTATGGTTTGGGTTGTCTGGGGATTCCTGGGAGACATACAGGAGCCCAGGCTCTCACATGAGCAGCGGTGAACTCGGGGCCACGGCCCTCGTTTTCGGTATCTTTTGCCTGGCCACCTCCAGGCCACTTTGCAGGTTTTATTATATTCTTACCTGCAGGAAAACTCTAGCATGTGCCCTGTGAGTTCCCTGCAGTTCAAAATAGCTTTTACTGATGGCAAGAAGATTGAAGTTTCCAATGCCACATCACTGAGTCACACTTGCAGTTTGCAAGTGATCAGTTTGAGATTTAAAATCAGTTAATTCAAGGTCTCTCTCTTCCCCTTTCTTTTAATCACCTCCTCTTCATTTGCTGGAGAGGGAAGGGTTCTGCCCTAAGGTTATGGTGATGGCTGAACACACAATACCCGGCCCTAGAAAGATGGGGTGATGGTAATTTATTAGTCACAGACACAATCCAGAGGAAGAGGACACTGCCCACTACAGAGGGCCACTTGGGAACAGAGTGGGCAAGCAAGGGCTGTGAGAGGCAGGTTTTGTAATATCAGGAGAGTATGATGCCTCCTGCTTCACACAGGAAGCGGGGATTGGCTGATTTGAATAATGCTGTGGTCTGGCAGGGAACTGAAACTGCTACTCAGGAATAAGCAGGAATTGCACCCGGTTCCTTTGATAACAAGGGTTGTTAAACCTGGAGATCTTATCTGTGGGAGCAGAGTGGAGAGCTGGGACCTTGTGGCTAAGCTATTTGAGCCCTCCCGATTTTGCCAGAAGTCAAGGCAGCACAAAATTTGGACGTTAAGTTTAGGCCTCACACGACACTCTTCATGTTCTTCCATCCTCTCAGAGGTGATTGAGTCTCTGGGGATGCTTTCAAATCTTCTGGCAGTTGGAAGGACACAGCCACTTCCCTTATCTCTGCTGTGGGTGAGCTGGCCCACCCGAGGCCTCTTCTGGTTAGCCTGATATTCAGCACCCCTCTGGACACCTATGTGTGGGGGTCTTTCTCCCCACTTTGAGGGTCTGCTAGTCTTCCTGGAAGGCCAGCTCACAGAGGATCCAGGCAAAAGGGGCCTTCTCGTCCAGCTTTTCCAGCATCTTTTCTGAGGCATCCACTAGAACTAAGCTCTAGAAATAGTCTTTCCTTGTTTTAACTCTTATTTCCTTTTAGGCAAGAAAAAATCATTCTAATTTATCATGCATACTTCCTTCTCTCTGACTTGTGGTATAAATTTCATGCTCCAGTCTTCAGGGTTTGTGGTTCTTGATATACAAAGCTGTTTTGTTTAAAACCAAACAAGAACTTTTCTCTCCCAAATCCCAAGGAGGCTTAAAATTTAAAATTTAGTTTTTATAAAGAACTGTTGTCTCAGTTATTGGTCTTAAAATAATTCATTCAATGAAGAATTGCTAGCTTTTTTCTAGAGTTACAGCTGCACTATTCAGTTCAGTAGCCACATGTGGCTATTTACTTTGATTAAAATTAAGATAAATTTAAATGAAAGAAAATAAAAAATTCAGGCTGGTCTGAGTGCAGTGGTGTTTACAAGTAATTGATCACAGCCAGTTACAGATTTCTTTATTCTTTTTCCACTCACACTGCTTCACTTGGCTAGCCTTTAAAAAAAGAAAAAGGAAATTAACAATTCAATCCCTCAGTCACAGTAGTCACGTTTCAAGTGTACAACTGCCACATGTGGCCAGACGCTACTCTGTTGGGCAGTGCAAATATAGGACATTTTCACCATTGCAGACTGTTGTGTCAGACAATGCTAGTCGAGGGAGTATGCCAGCCCTCCCTGTGAGGGCTATGAACTGTGAAAGCCGAGGAGGATGATGTGGCTGAAGAAGGAACTTATTAGTATCTCAAAATGTTTTCTTGCTTCAGTAACTTTGAGGAAAGTTCTGAACTTTAGAAGTATAAGTAACTGCTTTTAATGAAGTGTCCCCTCCATGTTTTGGTAGAGGAACATTTTTGGCAGCTGGAAACGTTCCTGCCTATCAGTCTGTCACAGACAACATGTACCATGGGCTACCGGCACTGAGCAACTCTCTCAGGAAGAGCATTTTTTGCCTCGCAGTTCCACCTACCCCAGCCACTGGATCCATGGAGCCTCCAGGTGTGTTTCAGATGTATTTTTATACTGTAAATTGTATGCTGTGTACAGGGGATTTAGTCAGTTTGTTTCCATTCAGTTTAGGTTCTGCAGGTGCTCTCAAGGCTTTGATGTCCTCTGTCTTCACTGGCTGTGCTTCACTCACACAGTGGAACAGTCTGGGCCCCAGGGCTGGCTGTGATTCCCAATCAGGGTCTTTGCCTCCAAACACTCAACAGGCTGCTTGGGGCAACAGCATGTCTGTTCACAGTTGATAGCAAAACAAACACTTAATCTTCTCCATGTAATAAATAATCATGATAGCAATTACAATACATAGATGACGTCAACAGCCCTGGTATAGCACCTACTATTGAAGGTAATCCCAGCAACTATTGTGCTCCTAGGCAGGAACAATATTACCCACCTTCTACAACCAAAGAATTCAATGTTCAGGAAGGCCAGAGATCGGACTATTCCAGAGTCATGGCAGGACCAGGTTGTAAGCTGTATTAGTTACTTATTGCTGCATAATGAATTACCCCAAAGTTTAGCAGATTCAAACAATAGACATTCATTATCTCACATAGTTTCTGAGGGTCAGGACTCTGGGAGCAGCTTAGGTGGGTAGTTCTGGCTCAGGGCCTCTCATGAGGCTGCAGTCAAGATGTTGGCCAAGGCTGTATTCATCTCAAGGCTTGACTAGGTGACAATCTGTGTCTAAGCTCACTCCTATGGCGGCTGGTGGGCACCAGAAAATCCACTTTCAGGCTTATTCACGTGGGCTTCTCCACAGAGCTCCCTTGCAATACAGTAGACGGCTTCCTCCAGCACAAACAGTCCAAGAGAGAACCCAAGATAAAAGTCACAGTCTTTCTGTTACCAGATTTCAGAAGTGACTCCATCACTTCTGCCATGTTCTTTTCACCAGAAAAGAACAAGGGGACGGGAATTAAGCTCCCCCTCTTTATAGGAGGTGTAGCAGAGAACTTGCGGATGCCTCTTTCAAACTACCTCACAAGCCCTGGTCCTTTGACTCCAAAATTTCCAACTTAACATTCTGATCTTATAATGCTAAGCCAAGTGACACCAACGTCAACTTCAATTAAGTCCCACATTTCTACCTTCAGTGGCTGCAAGACAGTGACTTTTGGCCCCAGCCTTGGCCCTCGTTTAGACCCAGAAGACAGGGTTGGACTATGACCATTGGATCTGCTCTCCCTACCTTTGAGTGTTGCCTGGGATTAGGTGGATGCAGGGGTCCCGGCTCCTTGCTATCAGAATCAATTCCAACTCCACAACTTGACTAAAACCAGAACCTGGTCTGAAAGTGTAGAATGGGGTCAGAAAGGCAGGCCCATCGGCTTCAGTGCTGCACATAGTATCACAAGGGACAGAGGATGCCTCAGCTGTTGGTTAGTGATATGGAGGAGACAGAAACCCTGTGGCGCTGGTCTTGAGTTGTTACCTAGAATTGGAGCACAATGGTGATGAAGGACAACTTTTTAATGTTCCTAATATTAAGAGCATTTGAGTAAGTTCATTTTTATTGATTTTAATTATGTCCCATTGGTGCTATACTGCTCTGGAACTTCTGAACACTGGTGCCGATTAGTTACACTGAAATCTTCAGTACTCTTCTGTGTTTCACCATCTGCTGAGAAAACAATTTAAAAAATAAATTATTACTCTCTCCTCCATATCACTAGGAACTATCAAGAAATACTTGCACATAATAAATAAGTCATCCAAAAGTGTTTTGGGGTACAGACACAGATTTCCTACTCATATAAATATGTCTATTAATTTTGAACACAAAGTTATGTTTATTTTCATATTTATGATTCGATTCTCTTAGGCATTTGAGCTGGTCCCTTGGAGAACATTTCTGGAAGATGGAGGACCATTCCCAGTTATGAGTAGCAGCCCAGATACCCTAGAATATAATATGCAGGTAGGATAGGTCTTCTCCATTGTTGCAGAGGGAACTGAATGCAGACTGCAAAGATAGGTGCCATTGGGTCCACAGGTCAGATCCTCCTACTCTCACCCATGATGAATAATGTGTAAGATAAGCAGGGTGTTTGACTTTTGAAGCTATAAACCCTGGACCACGAGGTGAGTCACATTTTCTTATGACACAAGGGAAGCTTGCTCTCAACTGGCATTGGCCTGGGCTGTAGACTCAGCTGCAGTTCTTGTGGCAGTCGTGATCTGAGAATGGTCAGTCATCTCCAGTCATGGGCTGAGCGTCCTAGAGAAACTCCCAGGCTGGTGGCTTAGAGGTGTGTGACTCCTGACCTGTCCATAAACAGTGGTGGGAAGGGAACTTTTCAAAACAGGACTCATAGGGAGAATTTCTTTTCATTGCTTTCTTTTTCACTGTTAACTTCTTTTAAATTGTTAGATTCTTTTCATTATTAAACGTTTTTCCCTTGATCATTTAGGTAAATATTGTTTTTATTTTAAAAATAGAAAGCATAGAAAAATATTAAGAACAACATGAAAATCAACCACAAATACACTTCAAAACAATATGGAGGTAGGGAGTGAATGGGGTGGGGTGGAATGGCCACAGGTTGGTGCCTGCTGGGGCTGGGTGATGGGAACTTTTCTGTTTGCTTTTCTATATATTCAAAATTATCTATAAGCAAAATGGTTTTTTTGAGTAAAATAGTGAAAATGGTCTTAAAAAACTAACCGTGTGGCTGGGTGTGGTGTCTCATGCCTGTAATTCCAACACTTTGGGAGGCCAAGGTGGGCAGAGGAGTACAGGAGTTCAAGACCAGCCTGGGCAACAAGGTGAAAGCCTGTCTGTACTGAAAACACAAAAATTAGCCGGGCATGGTGGCACATGCCTGTAGTCCCAGCTACTCAGGAGGCTGACGCATGAGAATCACTTGAACCCAGGAGACAAGGGTTGCAGTGAGCTGAGATTGCACCACTGCACTCCAGCCTGGTGACAGTGTGGGACTCTGTCTTAAAAAATAAAATAAAATAAAATCAACCATAGTACCACAACTAACAGACAATTCCAGTTCACATTTTGTTTTTTTCCCTGGTGTTTTCCCTATGCATATGTATGTTTATATGTGTACTTTTAAGGGGAAATTGATATCACACTATACATTCACCATGTACAGATCTGCTGTAAGGGCTGGAAACTTGGCATTTTCATACAGAACCAAAAGTCTGATGTGCTCAAAGAAAACTTTAACTTAGAAATGTTACTCTGGTTTTTATGGATTTTCTAACAGTTGAGAGAGTGGGTGCTTATAAATACAGTTACTCCTTGTTTTCTTCTTGAAAACTGTATGTAAAGTATATATGTGGTCTTCAAATGGAAGGTGTTTTGTTTTTTTAGCTGTGCCTCTGTGGGCTGAGTGACCATGACTGCAAGGTGGCTCATGGAGAACTGGTCGGTGTGCAACTGTTACTGGAAGATGTTCTGGGTAGCTATCATATGACCATGGAGGGTCCCCCAAGACAGCAAGCCACATTGGGCAAAAATACACAGGTATTCTTGGGGAATCATTTCCATACTGAATAGTACTGTGTTGGACTGAAGGACCTCTCTGTTGGGGAGATGGACCAGGGAGCCACATTTTCCCACAGCCTCTCTCAGTAGGTCCCAGGACTGTGCCAACACTACCTAGGAGCAACAGTGGAGCATGGGTAGCCACTGCAAGGCATTTTCTAAGTTCCATGATCATGGTATGTCTATTTATTTTAATTTTAAAAGTAGGACAGCCAGGTGCAGTGGCTTACTCTTGTAATCCCAGCACTTTGTGAGGCTGAGGCAGGCAGATTACGAGGTCAGGAGTTCGAGACCAGCCTGGCCAACATGGTAAAACCCCATCTCTACTAAAAATACAAAAATTAGCTGGGTGTGGTGGTGGACGCCTATAATCCCAGCTACTTGGGAAGCTGCGGTAGGAGAATCACTTGAACCTGGGAGGCAGAGGTTGCAGTGAGCCTAGACTGTGCCATTGCACTGTAGCCTGGGTGACAGAGCAAAACCTCATCTCAAAAAACATTTTAAAAAGTAGGACAAAAGTTGTGGGAGGTCTACTGAAACCAAATGAAACAAAAACTCCAACAGGGCACTTTCTTTGTGAGTCATACATCTAGGACTGGAGTTGAAAGGGCCAGAGGGGTCTGATAGACACGCCAGGTGAGTATCTTAGGCCTGGGCTCTTTACCTCATCACTCAACTACTGGCCTATGGACTCGTGGGCAGGCATTGCCTCCTCCAAGTTTATCCCTCTGAAGCTCTAAGGTACAAGAGCCACTAGCCCCCTACTATCATGACTTTAAACAATTTTGCATGTATCTGGGAACTAGCCAGAGACATGTTTGGATGCCAAACAAACTAGCTGGTGCCCCCACTTGAAGAGCTTTTCTGTCCAAGCCAAACTTTCTGAGCAATGCCCTAAACCCGTCATCTCCATTTTCTTATTTTCCCGCCACTCCTTGAAGCATTGCAATCTGTCTTCCCCATCTTGCTGCAGAAACCTCTCTCATCAAGAGCTCCATGGTCCTTGTCACTAAATCCACTGGGTATCTACCTTCCTACCTAACCCCTTGGCAGCATTTGACATAGAGTCTTTTTCTCTCTCTCTCTTTTTTTTTTTTTTAGACAGAGTCTCACTCTGTTGCCCAGGATGGAGTGCAGTGCAGTGGTGCCATCTCAGCTCACTGCAACCTCTGCCTCCTAGATTCAAGTGATTCTCCTGCCTCAGCCTCCCAAGTACCTGGGGTTACAGGTGCCCACCACTACACCTAGTTAATTTTTTGTATTTTTAGTACAGATGGGGTTTCACCATGTTGGCCAGGCTGGTCTCAAACTCCTGACCTCACAATTTGCCCACCTCGGCCTCCCAAAATGCTGGAATTACAGGCGAAAGCCACCGTGCCCCCCCCAGCCCCCCGAGACACAGAGTCCTTCTCAATGCCACTCTGCCCTTGGCTTCCACAGTATGAGACTCTCCTAGCTTTCCTCCCATGCTTCTGGCCCCTCCTTCTCAGACCCTTCTGTAGAGTCCTCTACCTCTGCCAACACTAAAATGTTTTTTTTTATAATCTATCTCATCACTGCTAACAGTGCCACGTTTTGACTTCCACAGGCCGTAACACCTTTATCTCTGTGGGCTCCTCCCTCTTCCATGAAAAACCATAAAAAGTTATATTTTAACACTATGTGAGTACAAAGAAAAATATATTAATATCATATATTAAATCATTTTATTTAGCCTAAAAGGTCTTTTTTTCTGATTTTAAAAAATTAAGGCATTTTGTGGGCCCTAGGCACCGTGCCTCCTCTGCCCAAGCCATAAGTCAGCCCTGAATGAAATATCACTACTGTTATCCCCTAGAAGTTGAGGCGTGTTCGGATTGCTTTTTATATATTCATTTATTTAGTCCTCACGATAATTCCATGAGATAGGTTGTTTCATTGTTCTCATTTTATAGATAAGAATGCTGAGGCTTAGGGTTGGGCGCGGTGGCTCACGCCTATAATCCCAGCACTTTGGGAGGCCGAGGCGGGTGGATCACAAGGTCAAGAGATCGAGACCATCCTGGTCAACATGGTGAAACCCTGTCTCCACTAAAAATACAAAAATTAGCTGGGCATGGTGGTGCACACCTGTAGTCCCAGCTACTCGGGAGGCTGAGGCAGGAGAATTGCTTGAACTCAGGAGGCGGAGGTTGCAGTAAGCTGAGATCGCGCCATTGCACTCCAGCCTGGGTAACGAGAGCAAAACTCCGTCTCAAAAAAAAAAAAAATACTGAGGCTTAGAAAGATTAAGTAACATGGCAAAAGTCACATGGTTAATGAGGAGAGCAGCTCAGATTCCAACCCAACAGTCCAGCCCTGGAGCTCCCTCATCTTCTTCTCTACTAGGTTGCTCCATTCCTCACCCTCTCCCTAGGAAAACCCATCCACTTTTATAACTTTGATGACATTCACATGCAATGATCCAAACCTATATTTCTAGCCCAAATATCAATCTATGAGACTCATTTGTTCAATTACTTGCTGGACATCTCTACTTATGCCATCTCAGAGACAGCATGTCCCATGCTAAGCTCATCTTACCCCCTAAATCTTGCCCCTCCTCCTGTATTCCCTGTCAGTTTACCACTACCTTCCCACTTGGCCAAGCCAGAAACTCTGGGCACCATCTTTGACTTCTGTCTCACATCCCATAACCAGTCACTAAGTTTTACTATCAAGTATTTTAATATCTTTCAAGTTTGTCTTCTTTCTCCATTCCCCCCCAGTACCCCCTTCTACCAGTCCAAACCATCATCATCTCTGATCACTAGGCCACGATCATGACCTCCAATTGGATTCCATACACTCTCTCTCACCTCCTTCCAATCCATTCACCAGGGTAATATTTTTCAACGCAAGCCTGCTTATGTCATTTCCTTCACCATAACCATTCAATGGATTCCAGATGCCCTGAGAAGAGTCCAAATGCTTTCATCAGACCCTCGTGACTTGACTCCTGCCAACATTTCTGCCCTCAGTGTCTTTCGATTTGTCAAATGCACTGTGCTCTCTCCTGTACTCCTCCCAAACTGGTCCCTCTGGTGGAAAACTTCCCTCTCCTTCCTCTTTCTACTGCATCACCTGATCAATTCCTACTTTTCCTTCAGATTTCCACTTCCAAACCACTCTCTTTAGGAAGCTTTTTCTGATCATCCACCCTTACCCCGATGTTCCTCTGTGCCAATGAGAGTATTTCTGCTGCAAGTAACAGGTTGTCCCATTAGCTACAACTTAAATTAGAGAAGCATATTAATCATCCATAATAAAAAGTCTAGAAGGAGCCATTTCAGGTTGATGTAGCCCCTAGACAATGACTTCAAGGACTCAAGCTCCACTATCTAGGGTGTCAGAAAACATCTCCCTTATTTTTGTAAGATAAAAACAGGAGCAAAAAAGCTTTCTCCTTGGAGATCTATCTTTTTATCAAGAAGGGAAATCTTTTCTAGAATCCCCCAGTAGACTTTCCTTGTGTCTTTTTGGCTAAACCAAGTCACAAGTACACTTCAGGCCAATTAGTAGAAAAAGAAGTAGTTTTATATGTGCCATCTACATTCCACAACAGAATCAGATGCTTCACCTCGTGTGATCATGTAGACCAAATCGTGCCAAGATCAAAAACACATGCTAGGCCCCCTGGTCCTTCTGTTCGCCATTTTTCGGCCCTGTCTCTGATGGATTACCATCTTTTCCTGACATTCCCCACCACCCTCCATCTTGTTATTTACCTTGGCTCCTGTTCCTTCTCTTGTCTTTTAAATTAAAGCACTTAGGTAGAAAAGATTTCTTATCATATGAACACATTAACAAACAAGTTTTCTTTAAAATTATTATTTATTTTAATTTTATTTCATGTGTTTTTATTTAGGAGTATTTAGCT